TACCTACCACTTTGTTGCCGTGGGAGGAAGCAAGCAAGCAAAGCAAAGCAAAGCTTTGGAGAGGCCATCGATTCGGGACACTTTATTTTTCACTCCAAACTCGGAATCGATTCGCTAATAATCTTTCTACCTCTTCCAGATTGCATTCCGCGTTCCCCTACTTCGACCACCGTTGAATTCAAAAGCAAAAAAAGGTCAGTTCGCTATATTCTTCCCCGCCATCCTGTCTTACACACCTTTCTTTCTTTCGCTATGATGAAATATTCCACCACTATTCGCAGTTTCCACTCGAGCTTCAATTAGAGCCTTTTTCGAAGCAGATGAGGGTTTAATAGTCCTTTCTTGGATGTCTGAGCGATTTCTATTTCATTCGTTCCGATGTTGTTTGTCGCATGTCCTTATTTTGACTCTTCATACTGACTCGGGATTTGCCCCAGGTAACGTTTCGATCGGTATCCTCGTGATGTGTCGTATACATATATCTCTCCCTAGACGCCTTTCTCCTGCTGCTTTCGGAAACTTGGAGCATCCAGACCATGCATGGTATGGTTATATGAGAAGCTCCGGCTTATCCAACATGTGTAGCTTGAGAACCAGTGGTAGATTTATCCATGAAAATGTTCAAATATATTGATTCACCTTCACGACCGCTCCTGCACTCCCCGGTGGCAAATGCTATGAGATGAGATCCGTAGTGATCATGTACTTTATCATAATCCCTTGTGTCTTGTGTGTCGCGCTCAGTTACAGTCCCTGAATATATACCACCGTACTCCAAACACCAGCCAATGTTCCCAAGGCTATATATAGGCTATATATACCAATTGAAGAACTGGAACCGATTCATTTCATGCATCCCATCATCCCATCACCATCAATCACCCAGAAACACCAACCCCTTGCATCATCATGATCCCCTCTTCCCTCAACTGCGCCAATCCGCTCGAGCTACCGCTGTTGCTCAACGTAGGCAGCGTCCCCAACCCGCTTCCGCTACGACTATGACCGCCACCACCACCACCCTGTTGTTGTCCTTGTCGCTTCACTCTCCCACCCACCATTCCCCTCCGATTTCTCCCCGTACGCCCTCTTCCTAGCCAGTTCAGTTTCAATAGTCTGCCCAGCTCCGTCACCATCTTGCTGGCTTCGTCTCCCGTCATCGCCGTCGCTGCCATCGTCCCCGGGTTGGGTGTCCCTCCGGAAGAAGAAGACGAACCGGGGGGTAAAGACGTAGGGAGCTCGGTGCTACTACTACTGCTGCTGCTGCTGCCAACACTGACGCTGGCGAGGACGCTCATGCACTGCAACATACGACCCACCATCTCGGTAACCTGCTTGCTGTCCTCGACATTCTGCTCCCGGACACTTCCCAGTATATCCGCCGAATTGCCTGTCCCCGTTCGGCTCCTCGTGCCGCCGGCGAGCGACTCTTGAGGAGTAAAAGGGCGTAGCAACCCGCCTGAGCCCGTAGACGCCGGGTCCGAGATGCCGCTGCCGTACGAGACGTTAGATATGGCGCGACTGCGGGAGGGAATCGAATCGTTGCCAAAGACGGTGGTGGATGTGCTGTTATAGGATGAGGATGGTAGGCTCGGGTCTAAGGACATGGCGGTCCCAGGGCGCATCACGGAGGAGGGCGCGTCCGAGGGAGACGTGGAGAGGGAGGTAAGGCTGTCGTTTAGGGGCGGTGGGGAGGCTAGGGCCAACGAGGCGAGCGAGGAGGGCAGGTGTTCTAGAGAGAGACGAGAGAATATGGTCTTGAGTTTCTCATAGCGTGGTAGGATGAGGGCGTCACGGTAAGCGACAAGCACGAGTCTGCGCACGTTGAGGACTTGACCTGCAGGTGCAAGGTGGGCTTCAAAGTTGGGGTGGTGATGATGCGGGTTGGGGATGGGCGAATTGGCAAGTACACCGCCCCAGAAATCTCGCGCTTGTTCGGGGGATAGGAGAGGCCCTGTTCCCGAAAACTCAAGGTCCAATGGTAGAAAGACGGCCTGCATGTAGGGCAGAATATTTGTAAATGTGATAACCCATAATTCCACCAGCGCGGGAATTAGCCGGTCGTCTGGTGTTCTCCGCAGAGTATGATCCAGCGAAGCGAAGCCCGTAGAGAGGAGATCTCGTACATCGTCGACGATGATCTGACCAGAACGACGCTGTATGCAATATTGTATATGCATGGTCACCACGCGGTTGAAATCCTCGATGGGTAAACGCAAGTCTTCGCCTTCGAATATGACGAGGAGCTTGGCTTTCAGGTAGGGCCACGCATCATCCAGTGACATGCTGTTGAGACCATGTTTGCTGGGATCTATCGGCTCGTACAGGTACGAAGGGGTTTGCGAGGGTAGACTCCCCGGTCCAGGCCATTCGGACCCGACGGCAAAGCTCGAATCGTTATCGTGTCGTGTGAATTCCAACTTCTCTTCCTTCCTCTTCTCACGCAACGCCCGGCCGCCATGCCTTAGATCGAGACCACTAACGCTCTTCCCTAAGTTGCTATTGGGACCGGGGCTTGGTGGTAAATTGAAATTGTACAGGCTGGAGGGCGCATGCGGATCGACAGGTCTCGAGTTACTGGCGGCAGAAGACAAGGGGAGGTGATAATCGTCTTTGGCCGTCAGTTTATGTTTCTGGCGGGACAGGAAATGATGTTTTCGTTCCTTTTCCTTTTCTCTGCTGTCGTAGGATGTATCGATAGGTCGAATCGTGGCAGACGAAGAATTCCCTTGACTATAGAAAGACTGCGCCTCTGCCAGACTCGTCGTACTGAAATTTCCACGCTGTAAGGAGGCCAATGCGGACCCGATCTTGCCCGGGCTGGGTAGCGGCCGCTCCTTGGTTTCTCCCTTAACATCGATCTTTTTCGGCCTCGAGAACAATTTTACTTTGGATTTTTCCGTCTTGGCCGGCTTTTCAGGGATGATGAGAGGTGATGGCATAGACGAGGGTGGCGGCATAGCCGAGGGTGGCGGCATGGACGAGTCCTGTGTTGAGAGCGCAGGTGAGGATTGTGACGACGATCTTGGGAATGCGACATTGGCGGCAGCAGCAGCGGCGGCATGGCTTCCCAATAGGCCATTGTGATAACTTCGATCGCCGAAAGCGTTGTCTCTCGGTGCGCTCGCTTCGGTCAGGCTAAGCATCGGTGGGCTACGAGGTCCGGCGCTGATGGGTTTCGGACCCGGTCTCTTTTGTACGTCGTGCGCATCACTTCCGGGAAAGGGCACGGTTTGTGATCGATGGCGGCTATGTTGTTGATGTTGCATGGCCGCCTGCGCAGCGATCTGGCTGGCTGAAAGGGCGGGAGATGGCTGTTGTTGTTGTTGCGGCGACATCGGTTGCTGTTGGTGTTGTTGTTGATGTTGTTGCTGCTGCTGCTGCTGTTGTTGATATTGCGCTTGCGCCATACCCATTTGCGGTAGGTTGGAGCCGCTGGTGGAAGGTAATGTAGGTTCGAACATGCCCTGGTTGGAATGCTTCCTGGTGTGGCCGACACGGGCAGGAGGTAGGGTCAAGGGCGAAGCGTTTCGATTCGAGGGATGTTCATTGCTCGGTCTATGCGGTCTAGAGAAGTTGTGTAGACTGCTGGTACTCGAATTCGGATGTGGAGAGAAGCTTGGAAAGGTCGGGCTGGCGAGGCCGATGGGGGTCTGTGGTGATCTCGTCTTGGTAAGTTGTAGGTTGTCGTCACTCGAGTTTGACTCTATTTGACGTATGCCAGGTCTCAGAGGGGCCAGAGGAGGTGGTCCTGTGGGTTGTGGTGGTGGTGGTGGTGGCGCGGTGGGCGATTGGGCACCAGAGACATTCCCGGTCAACGGCGAGAAGCTCCCTGGGGCCCTCTGTTGGTGCTGGGCATGCTGGGGTCTTGAGGGCTGCATTGTGTCGTTTCGTGTCGTGTCGTGTCGTGTCGTGTCGTATGGTTTGGGACTGGTTGAAACGGGGGTAGATTTCGTTTTGTGGGTGATTCTGTTACATCTTGGCCCTGTATCTAATTAAGATCTGATCTGCCGAGTGAGTGATCGTTGCCGATGCGACCGACCACTGACGCTGGCCTCTGACCTTTTGACTTCTGTCGAAGTGGTTGTGAGAAGATGTGATGTCGATGGAGGTTTCTTTTGTCGACTGATTGATGGATAGGGAATAGGAATGAGTGTTAGAATTTGAGTTGGTGTAAGACTAGGTGAGGTTAGCTGACGCTGTGCGAGTGTTGAGGATCGTTAAACCTAGATAAAACTCCAGGGCTCTTACCTATTATTTGGCTGCCCCGCGTCACTCCAGAGTCTCCAGTTCAAGGTGGCAGGGTGGCTGATGAGGACCCTGAAAATGGATCGCTCACCTTGGATGGTCAAATGGGGAATTTCAGATGCACGATCCTACTCTCTGTGTAGATCTATTTCCCTAATTGATTGTTTTATGTTCCGTTCCGTTATGAAGCTCAGCGAGATACTGAGTGCGTACGTTGGTACTTGTTAATCCGTATTCAGACCCCTCGGACTGTGTCTAGAGCATGAGATAGGTATGGCCGAGACCTGACATCCAACGATTCTTCAATTGCCGACAGAAGAGAGCACGTTTAAGGCTGCAGACATCTGGAAGATGAAGACGCAAAAGACATGGATTATGTCAGACCGAGGCAAAAGAAGGCACCCTGAGCTTATTTCGACTTCGACTTATTAAATGCCTATCAACCGCCCGGTACCAGCTTGCACGTCACTTCCGGATTACCTAATTCACATCATACCTAGACTGCGCAAGGCAAACTGGAAGAATGCTCCCGCTATCTGCAATATGGACTACTTCTCTTATTGGCCCCTAGTCTCGTGGATGCTGAACAATTCGCAATTTGTATGATGGAATATAGTGCACCTGTGACGAGGCCAAAAAGTATATTCTCGTCTAGTGTGACCCGCGACGCAAGGAAAAAAAGGTCTTGATTACGAGGTGTTCTACTTCCTAGATGTCCCAGAGAAAAACGGGAAAAAAATTCAAAAAACAAATGCCCACTACTGGAGTCGAACCAGTTGCCTCCTCATTGCTTCAAGTCTTGAATTACTTTACTAGTGAGGCGCTCTACCGGTGAGCCAAGCGGGCTGTTTGAATCATTGCTGATTGGATGATGTGGCGACTGAAAATGCACATTATGTAGTAAGTATTGGATAACTGGACCCCTTTTCAGGGGTTGACCCCCGCTCTACACCACATGCCGTACTTGGGTTGCAGACCTGCCGCAGGCCTGCCTGCCTTCGACAGTTTTGGTATCCTGCTTCATTCACGTAAAATGAACACGTTGATCCTGATATAACGTCCTGATTTGAGTGCAAAACTCATCTTTTCAGTGCGATATGAAGTGATCACGCAAACCAAAGTCTTGCTTAGCTCCAATCGCATTGACATCCCAAAGTCGGGTACTCTTACGGAACCTATCAATGTGATGTATATTCAAACCAAAGCTATTCCTTACCTTTTCATATCTACCTAGGTATTTGATCAAGAAACACGTCCCACGATTCAACTTACCACTGGGGGAACCCTCCTTTCCCTAGAACGAGATCTCTGTTCCTCATCTGACAACGCAGCGAGTCTCCTCCATCTCGAGGCTTTCTTGACAGCTCGGGTTGGCGATCGATCATTTCTTTCCTCGCATCATTCATGGGTGCAGGTAAAAGCTTTAAAGGTCGGCTCATGATCGTACTGATATCCTCGTTCGACAGCTGTAACGATAGAACCTCACACGAACGGTCCTGGATCGTTGGCCCTTCGGTCTCTCTTACTAGTATAGCGTGCTTGCTCATACCACAGCCCATGATGTTTGTTTATTTTAAACTCAAGACACTACCCGAGTCTTGAGTTCTGATGGAGCGAGAGAGAGAACGAGACTCGGCCTGATTCTGGTAGTAGTCTGTATGAGGTGCGATGATGGTTAGGTCGGTGGGAGATAGAATAATGATGAGAGCTTTGGTTTTCAAAATCGCTCTTATGTAGACCAAAATAAGTCAATGGGTATTGTAGTGACTGAGGGCCCTTTGTGTCCCTGGGCTTCCTTTTGTAAAGGCCATTGTCAAGGTTCTGACAATGTTCTATTGTCGTGGAGGGCTATTCATTGACAGTACCGTACCAAAGCCTCTCCGTCTCCTTTCAAACCTTTCACATTCAACAGGTACTCTCTAGTCCGTACAGCAAGGCGGGACCCCGTTATTTTACATCCCTACTTACGGTGCGCAAAGTCACTGAAACCACCTTGCAAATACTGTGTCAGTAGGGCTGAGGCACGCACTGGAAGGTGTTCCCTTCGCACCAACATTCGAATATTCGGATCGGACATTCCTTCCCAAGGGACCACCATAACATCGTGAAATCGCAATTCGCACCGATATGTTTCCTTTCGTCGTCTGGGGCACGACCATATCATGGTCGTACGTGATATCCTCCTGTGTCATCATCTCGTGCAGTCGAGCCCGTGGCAACACCTTCAACGCCATCATGGCTGTCATGACAAACAGTTCGCAATAAGCGAGCCTGACGAGGAAAGCGGTCAGCCAACATTCGACCATGAATGATGCAGAGAACAACTTACTGTCTACCGAGACAGTCTCGACTACCTCTTCCGAAAGCCATCAAGCGCTTCTCCAACCCATGGTTCGGATGACCATCGTCGTCTAGCAGCCAGCGCTCCGGGATGAACTCACTGGGATTTGGAAAGCACTTCTCGTCCCAGTGGTTAATGATTGGTGACATGCCTATGGGTGTTCCCCGCGGGATCACCCACTGGACGTTGCCGTCTTCGCTCCTATACACCAAGTCTTCGTCTCGCGCAATCCTGGCCGTTCGGTGTGAAATACCCGGTGTCATGCGCAAAGTTTCCTGGATGATTGCCCACAGATAAGGTCGACGTTCGAGATCGGTCCATTCCAGCCTACTGGTGTCACATCCCTCCAAGGCTTCCATTAGTCGCCTGTATACCTCAGGCTTTGCCAGAAGATGATACGTAATGACAGCCAGGCCTGCCTATGATTTCAACGATCAGTTTCATGAGCTGATGGGTTGATAGTCGAAAAAGAAAAAAACGTACCGAGGTGGTTTCTGTACCGGCTATGAGGAAAACTACACCCTCACCGGAAAGTCGATATACCGTTTTCTCCTCCTCTGGCAAAATCTTGGAAACGATCAACTCTGCGAAAACCCTGCCATGCTCCCGATTTTTCAGGGCGGAGTGAATGTAGCCGGGAATGACCACATTCATCTGGTGCATGATGGCTTTCACATCTTCGCCCATGTAATCAGCCATTGCGGGCACGAAGGCAGCCAGGTATCTTGCTGGCGCGATATAGCGCATCAGATACGCCATCCGAAATTGTGAGGCGGTCCACGTGGCGAAGTTCGGTTCCCATCCCTCCTGGTCGATGAATCCCATCGGCTGGCCGAATGCGTATTGGGAGATGATATCAGCTGTGAAGCAGTTGAACGCTTGCTTGACATCGAATGCCCCTTTTCCTGCGCAGGCGAGCATCTTGTCTGTACATCGTTGTGCGAACTCATTCACCTCGTGTTCTAGCTTTATGACCTGTTGCTTCGAAAAGAAACGATTAAACGCCCCCTTCCGTTTGCGATGAAGCTCGTGGGACACGGTGTTAAGCCCAGCCTCGGTCACAGGTCCAACCGCACCCCTCGCCATCTGATGTGCCCACTTATCTCGGATACGTCCTCCGGACGCGTATATCTCGTCTGTGAAGAGAGGGTCGTTACAATGAAGCTCGTCCGGGTTTATTCTCACGATCGGCCCTTCAGATCATTGGTCAGTGGTCAAACCCCTCAGGTCGGCGACAACAGCCTTCGCCAAAGCTGCTATCACTCACCATACACGTCGTGCATCTCTTTTATTTTCCTGCCATATCTTCCTACCAGCCACCAGTCGTAGTATGCCTCATACACATAGCTACAGGTTGCTCTCTTCGGTCCCGGGAATCTCGAGAGTGGATGTAGCGGCGAGATATTGTACAGAAGGATGGCAACTCGGTACAAGAGCCACAACCCGATGAGGCTAATGACGCTCGTGGATAGGGGAATGCTCCTGATAGCCTCCATCGAGCTGAGATTTTACGTTAATCATAGAAGTGACGCCTTGTTAGCTAACGTAAACCGTTTGCCATAGAATTAAGAAGTCGCTGCTGAGGATGATATCGACGGAGATGTTGGAGATGATTTATACCATATCCCCCCCTCCCCATGGTTACGAACAAATCATGCAACATGCTGACACGGTCATATAATCAACTCAGCATATCCACTAATGGCTATACTGACCCAGATATCTTATGACAAATCGTCCCCTACCTATTCAGTTACGAACGAATCATGCAACATGCTGACATAGCCTCGCGACTAGCGCCGCAGAGACCTCCTCCTTCTCCAGTGCGATTCGGAGCCCAGGAAGCCAGGCCGGCGACGCAGTTCACCCTGACCTTGCGGTGGATTGTGAATTATATCTGCGGTCGGAAACTTCTGCCTTCAGGATGCCGGTAGTGAGCGACATGAAGGTTTCATGAGTTCTTATCTTTTGGGCATAGTCTATCATCACCGTCACGGACGGACCCATGGAGGTCAGACAGAACTTCTGCGACAGTCACGACGTGTCTTGCAGTATTCAAACTCGTCACGAGGCTTCTTTTTTTTTTCTTTTTGGCCTTCAAACGTCCATCTCCCCAGGTAGTTAGCCCATGGAAGGGGAAGCAACTTGCGGGAAAATATCAAGTAAAGTTTAAGGCTCGTCCCTTCTTTACTCTCATCTTCCCACCTTCCCTGTTATCGAAATCGGAAGGTACCGTGCTATCCATATATGGCAACATCAGCATTGATGAAAACTATCCCATCGAGGTCCCGTCTCTAGTCCTTCGCCTTCAGGCTTCATCTCTCCCGCATCCTTCATCCAGAGCTTCTACACTCAGCTTTTATGCACAGGCTCTATAAACAGCTTTCACCTCGAAGTTCCGCTCTCTTGATCGTTTATCATATTGAAACGTTTTAAAGCTCATATCTCTACATCGACTACTTCAATCGGTTGCGGCCTGTGTCCGTCCTCCCCGCGTTTCTCACAACAAGCAACATCTTCAACGAAATCCCTCTTCTGTGACATTTTCTAGGTGAGCCATTTCCTCCTGAGAGTATTTATCATACACAACTGTCCCGACTGTTATAGCTAAGAAAATATTGACAGAGATCCCGACCTTGACACCAGCATGTCTAACACAGTGAACCCTTCTCCGCCCAGGAACCTAGGTAAATAACTCGAGTCAACTTGCTTCCCCACGGGCTGAATATTCGCTATCAGGGTTCGTACCTGGGTATTTGGAATGGCTGGAACATATCAGCAAGTGGTGTACTTTCCACAGAATCGAAATTGTCAACCAGACTGAATTCCAGGACGCCCGAGACAGATTTCGCGTGGAACCCAGCTCCGTGAACTACCGGGCCCTCCAGAGAGCGAGTGAAAAATTCCGCGAAGCGGCCGAGCTGGCTTTATATCAGGGGGTGATCCCACCCCAGGCGGTCCAACCCCAGGCGGTCCAACCCCAGGCGATCCAATCCCAGGCGAGACAACCCCAGGCAAGACAACCCCAGGCGAGACAACCCCAGGCGGGATCGCCGCCGCCGTCTCACCGAAAAACCGTAGACGAGGTGGAGACCGAGATGAAAGAACGAACGCGTCAAAGCTCTCATGGGCGAGTTGAAGGAAATCGATGACAAATTATTGTTGTTGATTCTCATCATGTCCAAGTTGAGGGAGAAGATCGACGATTTCGCTGGTGTCATGGGCGGAATGAAGGAAGACAAGTGAAGTGACGACGACGGGATCAAGGATCTGAGGAGCGGGGGAGCAAGCGTCAAAAGCGGATGAAATGGACAATTTTGAAACAAAAAAGAAAGAAAGAAAGAGGAGGAAACCAGGATCCCACCAAACATTTAGATGTCTTGTTAGCTGAGACGTCTGAGTATTGACCTATCCATGAAGCGAAAACGGCACAATTACCATTCCAAGTTCAATTTCATCTTATATTGTTCTCGATGCAATAGTTGGATCTTGAATGTGACGAGGA